CATTGAACTTTGTTAACTCTTTTAATGAAATGAGGATTGAAGCTTACTAGCTACGAATCCTCAAGAGAAAAGGAGGGATTGATACCGAATATAAAGAAATACTGAGGAGACATATGGTTCTCTTTGTCAAAACAAAGTAGCTACATGTTCCATAGACTGGACATTCCATAGATAAAAGGAAGCCTTGAAGCTCCGTGTACAGGGGTGGAATAGATAAGGAAGTTATGCTGAAACCAGCTAGTTAGTGCAACCGGGCCAGAAGACAAACTGTGCAGGCGAAAAGACTGAGTTCAACTAGCGGACACGGTGAGGAAGACCACCAGAGGACCCTGAAAGACCACCAATGAACATAAGAGCACATGCGTTAAAGACCTTTACATATGTTAATGAGTTCAAGGAAGTAACATGAATATGCTAATAATTTCTCAGAAATCAAATGAATATGTATATTCTGATTGTACGTAACTCCTGTAGTTGAGCAGCTTGGCGTGCACACTAGGTGGAGCGATCCCCTGCGCGCCTGGCGCTGCAATAAAGAATGCCTGCTTTCTAAAACTCCAAATTGAGTCTTAGAGAGTTTTTAATCTGCCGACTTATGGTAACAATGTAAGCAGACCCCTATGTGTAAGGGATGTCTGTTCAGTTAAAAACAAAACAAACAGGAAGTGTGACCTTATTTAGATTTAGTATATTTACTTAAAATCTTTAAAATGACAATTTTTTTTAAATTACAGAAAAGCTCTGAAGAGGCTGTAGAGGCAGCATTGGATAGTATACAGGAGTAAGTTCATATACAATAATAACGAATGTGCAATTTCTGTTTGCAAGTTGTTTGCTTACATGGGAAACCCATCACGCTTTGCCTTGAACTGATGGTGTAGCAGCAGTGGTATAAGGACATAGCGCGGGTCTGCCTACCTCCTACCACCTGCCTAAAGAAAATTAAAGAAAGTGATTAGTCTGGTATTATTTAAAACTTCCCAGTTTATATACAGTCTTACTATGCCTTCCACTTTTTAAATCCAAAGTGTTGGTTGTGGGGTGCAGAAAGGCTTTCAATTTTTTTCTGCAAAGCGAAGTTTAAGAGTACAGTACAATGAATTTACTGGATTCATTTTTCTTCAAAAGGACCAGAAGCATCTGGAAACTCAGAAACATGGCAGTATCTCCAGTTAGAGACAGCTGTGTTAAAGGATCTTGGACAACTCTTCATATGAGGTATCTGTCCTAGCTTCCAAGATGCAAAGCATCACCACTTCTAGGAAAGCTGGTAAGAATGAGGTTTCAATCCCCTGAAAAATCAAGCCCCACGTACTTAGATTTTTTTAATGTATGTAATAACTAGAAAAGTAATTTCCTTTATTATAAGTAAAACTTATTGTTAAGTTGAATTAATCACAGCACTGAGAATTCACTGGTGTACCTATGCAGAAGTTTTGGGTTTTTTTGTTTGTTTCTTTCTTTTTCCCTATTATACATTGCTAAATGCCATCCATATAGCTGCTCAAACGGGCTGCTGTCAGTGTGTAAACAAACACTGAATTTGCTATTGGATATGCTTTCCTTAGTGCTGAGCTAGTTTTTGCCTGCGTATGTTGGAGGTAAGTTCTACTGTAAACTGAAACGCAAGCAGGAACTGCCTACAGTTTTACACAGGGCAGATGAGGAGTGCTGGTCCCACGTCATTTCCATGGCCACGCCAAGATCACTCAAGCATGAACATCTTTGTTTGTCAAGTCCCAGCACAAAAGGCTAGCAAAACATGGCAGGGCACAGATCTCGGCTAATACTCGTGGTTACATGAGGACTGCAGTTCTGCCGATGACAACAGAGAACACTACTTGCTTTCCCGTAGACTTTGGATGAAGTGGTTAAATCGAGAAACGCCTCTCCCACCCTACGTTGCTCAGTTAGCCAGGTCACGGTTCCAAGTTTAGCAGCTAACAATCACAGCCTATCTCACACACTGCTGTGAAAATGGATTATGTTGTCTCTTCATGCAGCTTCAAATTTGTAAGATTTATTTTCTTTCATAGCCAGTACTGGATAAAAAAACCCCAAAGTTACGGAAGGACCTATATCCAAATTGTCAGCTTCATAACTAGATAGCGCCTTTATATTATTTTCCACTTGTGCTTATTTAAATGATGAAAAAAAACCCTAATTCCTTTCGGCATTCATTAATTAGGAGTTTGAGTGTATTTATGATGTGCATTTTATCTTCTGCAGATTGCTTAGAGCACTAAAAAGCATTTTATATTTTCAGTAACTTTACTGTGACTTTAAGATTTAAATCCTCCTATAGATTTTTTTCCAGAAGCCCTGTAAAGTGCAGAGATGCAATAACTGTAATTCTTTCTTAAAGCATTTTAAGAAGAAGAACCCTCAAAGCAGCTATAGCCACAGGCAACACCAAATCCCCATTTTCTGTCAGCTCTGTTTTGTCTCAGTCCTATTTGTTTCGAGTACCGTTCACAGTTACCTCTAGAAGTGCAGGGACCTCCTCCGGACAGACCACCATCTCTATTTGTTCTTTCACATTTTCTGGAGCTCTGAGTTTTGCCCCCCACCTCTCTGAAAGCTTATGTCAGGTCCCCTTAATGCGGTGGAAACCACAGATGATTCAGACCAGGGCCACACCCTGGCACGCGGTGGCCTGGTGTGTGCTGGCTGCAGAGTGGGGCAGTTCTTGCCGAAACTCCTGGTGCTGCTGCAGCACCCGATGAGCACCCACCACCGAGGGGCACGGTGGATCACCTCCCCGCTGGCTGTCTGCGACCTACATAAGCACCGACTGAGAATTACTACCCTGACAGTTCATTGCTGTTTCTGGGCCCAAGAAGCAAGAGTGAAAAACAATGCCTGCTAATTTCACTTTGCAGCTCTTGGGAACAGTGAAAGTAGCAGAGCAGGAATTGTTCACGGCAATCCACATAAAAGAGAGGGTGTGTGAGGGAAGAAGAGTAGAGACTTATTTATAACTCTGCCTCTGCAAGGAGCTTGGGTGCCCGACAAGCAGGGGGGGCGGAGAGCTCGTGGGTGGATGCTGGTGCGCAGGGAGGATGCACGCTCCCACATGAATCACACCGCAGCATGGTCTGGGATGTGGGGCTCCGCAAGCACCATGTTTTCAGGTCTGAGCTAGGCAACTCACAGGCGCACATGTTACCACAGCTGCATGGCACAGGGGAACTCAACATCCTGCTGGCAGTGCCGCCCAGCTCCCCTGCAGGCAGCTGAGGCCAGGGGCTGCTGCCACCCCCTGTGCTGCCCCAGCCGTCCCCTCCCACGCGCTGTGGCCCAGGGTTCCTGCCTGCACTAAGATTTCACCAGGCAGCTGCGAGGTGCGGCACACCGACCACTGTTGGTTCAGTCCCTCTCCAGCTCTCAACTGGCTTGCAGGTGCTGTACCAAGAAACCAAACCAAGCCCTGAGCCAGCACGAGCCCCGTCCACGGCCTCCTGCCTGCCACAGTGGCAGCCTCAGACATGCCGACCGGCACAGACCCGCACCTTGGGTTATTGCAGAGACCACCAAACCACCACTGGGTCAGAGCCAAAACTCTCCCAGTCCCACAACCAAGACACTGAGCTACCCGATCCCCAGCGTTTGCTGCAGCCATTGCAAACCTCACCAGTATCCCTCCTTCTCCAAGCCACTGCTTTGAAGAGCATGATGCCAACCACAGGAGTAATACTTGGAGAAATTTTTGGAAAAGCTGTTTTCTTAACTGGTTGGCATGTGCTAACTGCCTTATTATTATTTATATTTAGAGAATGCCCAACTGGAGAAGTGTTTACAGCTGATACACCTGAACCAGAACTTGCCTGACAGACACAGGGATCGCTATTCAGCTCTCCCAGGGGGGGCACGGGGTGGGGGCTGTTCTTAGACATACTTCTCTTTGTTGGTGCTTACTCCTCTACCCATGGAGAAAGCAAACCTCAAGGAGTGAAGAAGCCAATCCCATCAATTAAGGGCTTAAGAAACCTTTCTGGTACCAAATGAGTAAAGTAACATCTGACAGGTAAAGTTAGGAACGTCTTACTTCTCCTGTTTACGGGGAAGAGTCTAGGCTTTTTCTTCCTTCCCCCCCCGCTTTGTTTACCTGCAATGTGTGGGGATGAGCAGGCAGGAGTCCCGCCTGGAGCTGCTGGACAGACTGGCACCCTGCGGGCAGCAGAGCTGCACCTCAGTACAATAAAGGGCTGCGAGGATTCTGGTCCGGGGAGCCGCTCCAGCCTGGATGCATCTGTTTTGTTTAGGACAAGCAGGGAATACCAGCTGTCACAGATGAGACTGACGAGACACTTTAGAAAATGAGAACTAGACCAGCATTTCAGTGAAAAACCAGCACTGGCCGTTTGTATTCCCTCGGGCTCAGACTGGGTCACAGCTGCACGTGTGGCTCGCTGCACTTGTTGCTGTGTTCAGCAGAGAGGACCTGCGTCCCACCACTGCGCTCCATCTGTTATTGCTGCCATGAGGTTAACTCCCATTCAAGGGTGAGCGGTGACACAGCCCCACGCTATCAACAGATCCCCGAGGCAGCCGTCCCATCCTGTGCCCCAGCCAGCCCCCTGAGGCAGACAGGGCTCTGGCCACCAACCACGCCGTGCTGCAGGAGTCGACACCGGCGATTCGCTCTGGAGGTGCCGTTACTCCCTGCGCGTCCTTAACGATGCTCCGGCGGGCTGGCCGGGGAAAGCTGCTGCTAGGGACCGGCTTTTGCGGGCAGAGGTGGCGACTGCCTGCTCGCAGCTCTCATCGGAAAGCTCGCCATCCGCCGCCGGAGCCCGGCAGCGCCCGCTCCGGCTCCGTTGGTCCCACTGCCAGCCCGACCACGGCTCTCCACCTCGCCACGGGCGGCTCTGTATTTTAAAACTTTCTTCTCATATTCCACATCAGCGACGGCTCCAGCAGTTCCCGTATCTGTCCTACCGGGCCGCCCGGACACCCCCTCCCCCCCCGCATCCCCATCGCCCTGCCAACCCTCTTACCTTGCAGGGGAAGAGCACAGCCGAGGCCACCTTCTCCATGGCCAGGTTCCTGATGCTGGGGGTGAGGGAGCCCCGGCAGGTGGGGCAGAGGCTCAGCTTGTCCCTGCATTGATTGCAGACCAGATGCCCGGCCTGGCACTGCCGGATGGGCGGCAGCACATAGTCGAAGCAGACGGGGCACTCGAAGAGCGAGGTCAGTTCGTGATGCTGATGCTGCTGCGGCGGGGGAGGAGGAGGAGGGGGAGGCGGCGGCGGAGACGCCCCGCCGGAAC